ATTTCTGGAGCATGAAACAATTTTTCTCTCAAAATCCCTTATTAAAAGCCATAAATCTTGGTGTTCATTGGGGTTTTGCTCTTCCCTTTTGCCTCTTTTGGGGTAGGGGGAACATTGTGGGTGTTCCCAATCCCAAAATTCTGTGGGGTTTTTCACTCAGCTCCCACACTCTGCCCAGCCCCAGAATTAAACAAAAGAATTCTCCAAACTCCACAATTTCCCAACCCTCTCCAGTGCAGGGATGTGATGATAAACCCCACAAAACTCACAGGGAATATCCACAATATTCCAATTATTCCCGATCCCTGCGAGCGCATCACAGTAACGAAGCGAAACAGAATTCTAAAAATAAACCTGATTTAACAAAATTTTTTGCAGTAGTGAACTGAGGCAGAATTCTAAAAATAAACCTGATTTAACAAATTTTTGGGATTTTTTTTATTGAAAACCTCTGCAGGCATGGCAACACTCAGCCTTCCCCCACGGATTCCATTCAGGAATTCACAGGATGATCCCTGAAGGATTTTGGGGTACAAATTTGGGGAATTTGGGGGTGGAAGGAGGTTCTCACCTGCAAGCTGGTGACGGTGAAGTTGGCGATGAGCCGGATCACCTCGGGGTAATTCTCCACCTTCACCAGTTCCCCCARTTGGTAATTGCTCTTCAGCCGGGCCAGCAGGCGACAGAACTCGTGGTAATTGTTGGGGTCTGACAAACTCTGTGGGTACAGCACAAGAAGGGGGTCAGGAATTCAGAAAAAAATATAAATCACACCTTGCCCATCGATCCAGGTCAGGAATTGTCACTTGGATGGGGTTTGGGCACTTCCAGGGATGGTGATTCCCCCATTTCCCCCATTTCCAGGGAAAATGATTCCCCCATTTCCAGGGATGGTGATTCCCCCATTTCCAGGGGTGGTGATTCCCCCATTTCCCCCATTTCCAGGGGTGGTGATTCCCCCATTTCCCCCATTTCCAGGGGTGCTGATTCCCCCATTTCCAGGGATGGTGATTCCCCCATTTCCAGGGGTGGTGATTCCCCATTTCCAGGGATGGTGATTCCCCCATTTCCAGGAATGGTGATTCCCCCATTTCCAGGGATGATGATTCCCCATTTCCAGGGGTGGTGATTCCCCCATTTCCA